TTTTTCTCTCCTGGGACAGTCCGCTGCCTTAATTATTTTTGCGCATAAAAAGAATTCTCACAGCTTCATAAAATTATGGTTGAACCACTGATGTCACATGGACTATTTGAAGCCCTACAGTTTGAACACTTCCTGCGAATCGTTCCAGCTGAGCAGTACGAAATTTGACAGATTTATTTCGGTCATACTTTTTGTCATTAATTTATTCTATTTTAATTCATAGTTTATTGTTGCCGTTTAATTTATACACACACTTACGTACATGTGTATGTGTGTGCACGCAATTCTAATGTTGTGAGAAAATAATTTTGTCCTGTTTTTTTTTGTAGATGTAGTGATCTCAACCGCATGTCACCCCACAGAAAACATCATTGCATCAGCAGCACTAGAAAATGACAAAACCATCAAACTTTGGAAGAGCGACTGCTAAGCCTCAGGCTTATTTTACTTTATTATTTTGTTAATTTTGTACTATTCATTTTGTGTGGGGGGGGAGAGACCTTTTTTGTTTTTCATTTGAAAGGTCACGCTAGACCATTCACACTGACATCAGGGCTCAGCAAGAGGACTGGCGAAAGCGCACTAGCCCGACATACAGTACCCTCTCCTAACACAGCACCCCTCTGTCCGCTCACGTGAACTAAAGCAGTCACTTTCTCTCTGCCTTGCCGCCAGCTCTCGTTCATCAGTTTAAGCATCCAGCAAAACTTTTAACCAGTCTGTAAATTTAGGCAGCTTTGTTTGAACTCCACAGACGTATTAGGACAAAGAGAGTGTTCTTGTCTTTTGGGGGTTTTTTTCCTGTAAGTTTTGTAGAATGACATCTATCTGTCTATCAGTGGTTTGCACACTTCCTGATGCCAGCAGAATGCCTTGGGCACATTTTAAGTGGCCATTTTAACAAATGTTTGGAGTATTACAATTTCTCTGCCTGTATTTGTGGCAGTTATATGAGCAGTTTGCAGCTTCACTCCATTTATTTGGCCGAAAAGAGGTTTCACAAACTTCTCAGTTGTGAACGCCTCAAAGACTTACATTGACTTACCAATGTCAAATCAAACCTCTATGTATGAAATGTGTTGTCTGGCAGAAGGGTGTTTTGAACGTCCACTATTTCATGTTTATTTCTGTACAGCACAAAAATGCAACTGTTATATCAGCAATTAAAACAATTCATTGTGTTATAGTTGCTAAGCTAGTTGTCAGACATCGTTTATGGTTTTCAGTGGCTCAATGTCATCTAGGCAGTGCTATCAATAAAACATTCTCTTTTGTTATATAACCCTATAGCAGTCGCAGACATAATGTATGCCAAAACTTCACTTTATTCCTACAGCTGTAACTACCTGTAACACCTCTGTTCATATCAGTTTTGGTGCTTATGAAAAATAAAACTGTACAATATATCTGGATGGAACAGCACCTTGGTCAGAGCTTTTAGAGAAAGTATCACTTAAAAGAAAAGGTTTCTAGTAGACTTCAATTACACAAGCAACAAATGTTCATTCTGAGATACAAAAACCATTCTTACCAGCACAATCTGGTAAAACACATTTAGTTTCTAATTATGATGTGGTTTCAATTACACAACTTATGCAAGGAGGAGTGTTGCTGTGAAGTGGATATACTATAACCTTTTATCTTGTGACCAAAAGCAGTCTGGATGTATTTAGAGCCTTGAGATGTTTCTGTATCTGACACTTTGTACATACTTGCAGCTTCTCTGTTCTTTGATACGTTTACCTCTGTTCTGTGGTCTTATTAACTGTGTCTCAAGTAGGTGATAGTACTTTAAGAGTACTTTTTATTTTTCCTGCTCGATGTGGATGATGGTTTGGCATTAACACATCCTCTGCCTCTGGACTCTCTGTTCTTGACCGGATTTCAAGTGCACTGCAGTGATGACAAGGGCCGCATGAGGAATTCTATCTGTATTGCATTTAGTCACTTTGGACATGACCTGTGACTCAATAAAGAATTTTTTTTTTTACCTGTATCCAGCACAATGTCATCCATGAATTTATACAATCGATATAGTTAAAAATGTACTCTGCTCAAGGTGTGAAACACAACGTTGTTTCGACACTATTGGTATCTAGGTTTATAGAAGGGGTTTATTATGCGATCATAACCGGCTGAATTTACATTATTCCACAGGAAATAAGGACACTGGTGAAATAAGGTGGATCTCGTTCTTTGCTTTCAAAGTGTAATTTGTCAAGCCATGAGCTGCTCACAATTTAAAGTAGTTAAACTACAATACAATGTAGTATTTTGAATAGTTGTACGCTACAAGGTTTACTTAGGTAGAAGTAGCTTACTACAATATAGCTTACTGTATAAATATAATTATGCAATGTAATTTAATCATATCAATAAAGCTTTGTAGGACAGAGGGTTTTTGAAAGAACAAACATCTTGTTTAGGGGGACAGTCAAATATAGACCTAACTAAAAACTAGAATTCTGCCTAATTTATATAATGGACTCTATGCACGGCACATAGCCTACGTATTTCATATAGACATACTGATGAACTACATAGCCTGCTACACAAGAACTTAATAAATTCAGTTTTAAATCTGAATGTTTTGTAAACTGTCACGTTTCAGAAAGCATGTGAACACAATTTCTCCTTGCGCTTAAGCGGACACATCAGTAGGTTTAGGGTTAGGTGTGGGGGAGGGGTTAGGATTGCGGTTTAATATAAAAATACCAATGCGCTGCAGTTCGGGTAATATGTTCGAGTGCAGCCCATGACACGCAGCGGCAGCGCTTCACTCTGAAACATACAGCACATTTGTTTATTTGCTGGGAAACCACCAAAATAAAAGCAGTGTAATATTTGAAATTGAGCAGAGATGCACCGATTGACCATCGGCCATAAATCGGAATAATAATAATAATCATCTTTTTTTTATTTCAGAGAACCCAAAGAGGAGAAAATGAAGAGTTCAGATGCAAAAGCCTAAGTGCCCTCTGAAATATTAGCATTTTAAAATTAGCATTTTTTTATCAGGCTCCTATATTTAGGTTCAGTTATTTCACTTTAATGGCATAGAAAAGGACCTATACATTGCCATTAAAGTAAAATTACTGAACCTAAGCATAGGAGCCTGATAAAAAAATTTTAGAAGAAAATTTCAGAAGGCACTAAGAGGCTTTTGCATCTGAACTCTTCAAATACATTAGCAGGCAGAGCAAGCTCACTGTTCACAATGCGCGAAGTATGAATGTATCTCTGAGAGGAACTGACTGTCTTAAGAAACAGTTTAGATGGCATTTTCCTTTCATCAGTATAATGCATTGTGTTTACAGTGGTAATCAAGGAAACAATGCATCACTGCTGTTCCTTAAGCGCCACCTGTTGACAGAGAGTGAATTTGCATTTTCATTCAGCCCATCTGCTGTTTGGGATGTTTTGTGTAGCCTTATTTCACAAAGCTAAAGTCAGACCATTCTGTTTTTGAAATTATACAGTCTAATGTAGATGTTTTTCTATCTCTTTTCTCTTTTTTTTCTTTTTTTTTTACAATGTCCTTATTTATATATTGTATAGTTTGTATTTTATATATTTTTTAAACTGTATTTATCTGTATTATGTCTACTGTTAGTGTTAAGTGTTAACTGTATGCACCAAGGGTCTGAGAGTAATGCAATTTCAATTCTCTATATGTATGTGCTGTACATGTGGCAGAATTGACAATAAAGCAGACTTTGACTTTGACTTTGACTAGATCAAAATATTGGCTAATAAAGCAACTAACCATATTCTTCATGCACTCATATTTTCATTCTTTCTTGTCTTTTGCTTAAATAAAAGACATTAAAAATCAGTATTGGATTCTGCCAAGAAAAAAAATTAAGATCAGTGCATCCCTAAATTTATGAATGTTTGAAATGAAGAAATTAAGATTTAAATGTTAGTATTGTAGCTACCTTTGGACGATAAAGTTCTCTAATTTAAATAGCTAGCTGAGTTAATGTCAGTTTATTTATTTATTTATTTATTGTGCAACCGTCTTATTTATTTCATATGTAATTTGTTCTATGTCATAAAGCTATGCCGTTTCTGTGTGAATGATCGGTGGTGGAATTGGCTGTGATGCAAGGGGCACCAGCTAAAATCTTGCCTAGGGCACCAAATTGGTTAGGGCCGGCCCTGGGACACATACTAAATTACCTCAAAATTCTAGTCAAGTTTTCTCATAAACACAATTGGTTATGTCTTGAAGAGAAGGTAATTAGAAAAAAATCTAATGTATATTATTATGTCTGTGCATTCAGTCTTAAAGTGACAGCAACCTATAAATATCTGGCAACAACAAAACAGCTTTAGCAAAGATTAATCTATATTTAATTTATACAGTAAACACTTTGCAGTGTTATTTCACACTTAATTACATTTCTGTATCTGAATATTCTTGTTAGACCTAACTTTATAATTTCTTATTATAAGACCTAACTTTATAACTAATACTTCTTATTTTATTACAAATGATTCACTTCTTTCACTGTTTTATTTATTTATTTATTTTTTAGCAGGGACAATGCAGAATAACATTGCAGATGCTCTACATACAGGCTTATAGCCAATGGCTAATGTGCAGCCACAGTCCCTGGTAAGGCTTTTAAAATAATATAAAAGCAATTCAGGTTTGTTCTGATGGTTTTACAAAGCCTCTTTACATGCACATCGAATTTTAATTGAGAATCCAAAATAACACCTAAAAATTTTAAATCACTAACTGTTTCTATTACCCTTTGGTCGATCATAATTGTAAAACCACTCATGTCTTTCCTTCTGATCGAGAAACAAGCAAAAAAAAAAAATGTAATGATTTATTAAGGAAATCCCATGCAATAATTTAACTAGATTTATGATTTCAGACTTCCTCAAAGACTTTTCTTCTTTTTTGTGCACAAGATTAGCTATTCAGAGTTTTTTTCTATTTGCTATAGTAATTTGCTTTTCCTTTTTTGTGCACCAAGTTTGCTGCTTAATGTTTAACTAAACTTGACCCTCTGAAGCTGAATGGTTTGTGCTGTTTTTCCTCACTGGGGCTGATTTGGAGCATCTTCCAAATTAATACATGTAAAGAAAAATTGAAGCACTGCTTGCTTTTTCATAAAAATAATTTCGGATTTCTCTTCTGCCTTCCCTATGTTACACTACCTGACTCCTGAGCTATTCCTGACATTTGTCCCTGTTGAAACCATTCATGCTGTAAGATCTCCTCTAAAGTTGCTCTCTCTGCAGGATCACGAGTCAGGCACCGGTTTATCAAATCCTGGCATTCTGTGCAGGTTTTCACAAGAGAGCTGGTTAGTCACGTATGTCACGCTAACGTTGAGATGTATGAAAATCTCTATATGTATAGAACAATTCTATAGTCTTTGTGTTACTGGTAGTTATCAGTTCACTTACCTCTGGATAATGTGTGGTCGATCGTCACATTGGCTATCATTCTGTCAAATGCAGTCTTAAAAGGCTTATTTCCAGTGACCATTGAGTAAAGCACGGCGCCCAGACTCCAGACTGTTGTTGGGCCTGCGTGATATTCACTTGGGTACTCAGGTGGGCGGCAACCTCCTGTTCATTGAAGCAAGAGATTTTTACATTGAACAAGCATTTTATTTTTCTGTTTTTACATATCTATTCTTATAAATAGTAAACACATCATATGATCATTAAATCAGTACACAGGAGACTGAAATCTTATTAGAGCTTATTGTAAGCATTAAGACAAAAAGCCAACTCACCTAAATGTCCATTTTCAAAGCCAGAAGGATTGACGAGGCAACTGCCACCAAAGTCTATTAATTTGAGTTCCATTGTCGATGTATTGACCAGCATGTTTTCTTCTTTGATGCTGCAATGGAAGACCTCCCGGTCAAGACAGTGCTTTGCTCCGAGGACCGCTTGGATCATCAGGCCACGTGCCAGTGATTCATTTAGTCGTGGCCTGTTGTCATTGAGGAATCTGCGCAAACTCTTGCAGGGACATGGATACTCCAGGATGAGGATGTAATCATCTTCCTCTTCAAACCATTCCAGCATATACACTATGTACTGACTTAGTGGGGGCTGTTTCATCACCAGATTTATAGCCACTTCTTCAAACACTGGCTCAAAACATCCAAGCTAGAAAAACAAAATCAATAAAAGGTTAGTTCACTATGGGTATGTTTAGCCGCTTTTCCACCATCGGGCTGAACAGTTCTAAGAACAATAAGGAACGGTTCCAGTAATGTTTCCACTTGAGCTCGGCTCAGCGGTGGAAAAGCAGATTTTGATTTTCTCACAAACTTGTATTTAGATCAATTTGATTCATTTAGATATATTTATAAAGTTTTGCCAACTTACAATTTTTATATTATTGTCACTTGTCCTCTTTGGAATAAATTTGATGGCGACCTGCAAAATAATAAAAAAAGGATCAACAAAAACGGGTAAAAAGCATGGGTAAATCAATCATATTAATTAATTAATTAATATTAAAGACTGAATATTCTCATTAACACAATTTTTGTAATTATTTCAAACATGTTTTGATTAAAGCACTCATCAAACTGACATATTTGGTGAATACAGCAAAAGTGATTGTACCTTCTGGCCATCAGATTTCCGGATCCCCTCATACACAGAGCCATTGCCTCCTTTTCCAATTAACCTTCCCCATTCATAAAGTTCACCAAATGGAACTGCAAAAATACAAAAAGAGCATGTTAATTTACATGGACTTCGGTAGCAGTAGTGGGTTGGAATTGGCAGACAAAATAAACACATCTAGTACAAATCAGCTACCTGGAGACTAAATATGGATGATGTTATGTATGATAATCAAGTTCTAATCAAGTAATCTAGGAAAAAAATACTACTTGGATCAAGTACTATATTTATCAGTTATATCTGGAATGAGGTATGAGGTATCTGACATACAACAAATGTGTAAACAAAGATTTAACTAGACACAGGTGTAAAAACTAATATGTGCAAGAACAAGAAATGGCTGGCAAGCAGAAAAACATTTACGAGTAGCTGGAGGGATGTATGGAACTGGATCTCCAATGCGTCTTCTTCGCCTGAAAGCACTCCGGACAGGCCAAGGTGGCAATGTACGAGGAACAACTGGATTCTGCAGAGCCGTGGGCATGAGGACAGATGGACCTGGTTGAGGATCATCTGGATCCTGCAGAGCCATTGATTTAAATTTGGATTGATCTGGTTGAGGATCGGTTGGAACCTGTTGAGCCACTGGCTCGAAAACAGATGGATCTGGCTGAGGGCCCACTAAATTTGTGTTAGGCTGTGGCAGAAGAGGGCCCACTTCATTGTTTTGTGTTGCACTTTTTACAGTCTGCCACATTCTTTTAAATAAACCCACTGATGCCTTTCTTCTTCTGCCTTTTTTCAAAAGAAAAAAATTAAACAGAGAAACACAAGAGTTAGAAATTACCAACAGATTTCAGAAGTCAAATATTAAAGCTAGACTTCAAGAAAAAATATACATATATTTTTTAACACCAAAACTAACAACCATGCTAGCGGGGAGAAAGGAGTCGCAACGTTTGTTCTTTCAATGTAGCCTACACAAATTATATGAACCCCTACAACAATGCCTGTTCACATTATATTTTCCAACTACTATATATAGCCTAAACATTTCACAAAATTAAGTTGAAATGTAAAGGCTGCCTGTTGGTCTATTCTCCATATCGCTTGAAAAGCTTGTGCTCACACTGAAGCGTTGTAAAAGTCGCTCTATGGACAAACTTGGAGTGTTTTCTCAGGTGATAATCTTCGCTTCTACTCCGAATGCCATTGAATCGAATGGTGATCAATCAATCTACGAGCGTTCATTTACATGGCACAACTCCTGGCAGTGTGACGTCATGGAATGTTTCTTCTTCTTCTTTTCCCAAAGCATTTTTTTTAAACAATGCATTATGGGGGGACTTGCTTTTATGCTTATACTTATTTATTTATTTAAGTTAAAGGGACACAAAGCATCGTATATCTAGAAGAATATGTTATCGATACTTACACAATGCCCATCGGCAGAGGGTGAACCAACTATTTTATTTGTTAATCACTATTTATTTAATTTCTTTTATTTTCTTAAATGTGTGTATATATATAGTATTTATAGAGTTTTAGCTTTTAGTTTTAATTACTTTTTCTTATTTGTAAGTCGCTTTGGATAAAAGCGTCTGCTAAATGACTAAAAGTAAATGACTAAAAGTAAACTCTACGGAAAGGCTAAAAGTAGCCTAATGTTAATGTATTTTATTAAATATGCATCATCATAAACCGGTCGTTTTTAGGCAACAAGATATGCGCGTCATAAAATATTGTTAATCCTAGCTACTGAATTTGTATTTAACGCGATCACAATTTGATAAAAATATTATTACTAATTAACGCTTTCATTTCCACGGTTATTCGGACATGAGTAAATTACATACAGAAAGCAAGCAAAGAACATTTACAGGATCATCGAAATAACTTCAGTCTATAGTAAATTTAAGCACACAAAAACTCACGTTATAATGAAGCTAAACTGTGAAATGAATTTCATTCTTACATCGTACAAATTTCTGCGCTTTGTTGTTTATGATGAGAATTTGCACGCAAAACTCTGGCATTTCAGAGATGACTAATCTGGGCTGCGTTTCTAGATAACGATTGATCTTAGAGCTTAAGAGCGTTTTCTACGAGTCATTTTACGATCGTTCGTTATTGTTTCACGTGCGTTTCCCAAAAATGCACTTAACACAATCGCACGTAGCCGTGCTTTAAGTGCTACTTAGGAGTCGCTATCATTTATACGTATAATATTATACTTTACATAATAATATAGCCTATAATATACTTTGTATTTAAAAATATATTATAGTATATAATATCTATATAGAGACGTTAATTCCGGGTCCAATACATTGGTTTTCGTGCACGTCAGTAAGTCATTGACAGATTTCCACCCCAGTCTTTGAAGCATATTTCCTACATTACTTCTTTTATTCATTTTGTTGTTCAGTCATTTAATTTAGATGTGTATTTAAATTTTTTAAAGGTGTATTCACCCTTTTTTAATAATTTCATTAATAAATTAATTTTAAAAAAACGAGTAATAAAGTGTACAATAAAGCACAATCAAAACTTTATATTATAATCACATTGCACTTGAATAAAGTTAAAGGTGCAATCTGCCGATTGTCCTGCAGGTGACCGCATAAATCTGTCTTCTTACGATGCACTTAGGGCTTTACGATTACTCCAGAGCATCTTAATATTAAGATCAGTCGTACGATCGTTTTTACGAACTTCTTAAGCTTACGAAGCTTTTGGGAAACGCAGCCCAGGACGCCTCTGATTGACCATTGCATTCATTCATCTCTTGCTACTTTGAAACCTTTTTTTACAGTCCATGTTTGAAACGATCAGTAGTGAAAAGCGCAATAAAATAAACGTGAAATGAATTGAACTTCAAAACGGTATAGGCTATGTCTCAGCTGCACTTCTTCCATACAGAGGGGCAATCTCTCGAAGAACTGCTGATTCTGAACCCCATCATCCGACCAGTAGCCTACACGTTAATTCATACGAACTATTCAAAAGAACCGATTCTCAGAAATGAGTCAGACTTCCCAACACTAAAAAAGACAGTTGATTCACAACCAAGCCCCTTTACTTCAGTACAATCAAGATAAATACAAACAGCACTTCAAGTATCACACCACTTCAGTATTCACGTTAAACAAAATAGTAGAGGTTAATTGTCACAACACAAAAGGATTGCTCTAGCTCTTGAGTCACAGGTGAGGAACATCTCATTATGCGCATGCGCATTAATGTCACCCAGATGCCGCTGCCCTGACAACGCAGTTTCCGAGACGGGAGCGGTTGAAAGCAAAAATGTCTGCAAAAGATGAAAGCAAAGTTGGGACGGTGAAATCTGAAGAGGTATGATAACGATTACAGATAAAGCAAACTAGATAAGTAACGTTTATAAACAGAGCTTTGTTGGCTTGAGAATAGATAGATGTGTGTCTGTTTTGATTGTAATTTTTGACCGTTGGAGTTTGAGAGTCGTGGCTCTCTCAAGCCAACATAACTTTTTTGGCTTGAACTTTGTTCAACATTCTGATCGACTATTAACTTATTTATTGTTTATGATTATTCTGAGGCTCTCTTTGCATTATACCTTGAAACTTGTAAACAAGATTTCAAAATCTACATCCATACTCATACATTCATCTCAACTCTTCAATTCTCATCTTCATACTCATGATTGACAAAATTTCCATAAAAGTGTAACCAGTGCCATATCCTCTGCACATTTATATAATTTATGTAAATTACTCTGTATTCTCATCTCATTTGTATCAACAGAAAAGCAGCGACAATACACATCCTTGATATACCCCCATTATTTAAAAACATGTTATTCCGTGGTCTGTCTGAATACTGGATTCTGATTGGCTGGCAGGTATGCAGTAAAACCGTTTAAGGGTCAACTTTAGTTAGTCTGTACCCAGCAAGCAATTTTGCGTTTAAAAGACGTCTATTAGACGTCTAATATACGTCTAATAGACAACAAAATGGCAATCCATACATACAGCTTTTATTAAGAAAAATAACATTTTTAACAACTTGGACAACTTAAGACAATACAAAATGATAAAAATACAAAAGAATTAATGACAAAATAAAATGTTATAAATACAATATACTTAAATATAAATATTATGATAAAAAAATCTGGAGTTTTTTAACAACTTAAGATAATAAAAATATAAAAATTTTAAATAACAAGATATTTAAAAGAAAAAAAAAATCTAATACCTCTGGTAAATGTTGTGTGTTTTATACACATACCTCTGATGACCGAGAACAGTGTAGTCTTTTCAAATGCCTCTTTCTGCAGCGGACCACCCCCCTTCATGTTGAATTTGGACATGAGGGAATTTTTTTAAAACCCTAAAATACAGATTGAGGTGGTTAACAATTGCAGACAAATTTTGACATTTCAAAATGACCAGTCAAGGAATTATTTTTTAAATTTCTGATTTGCGTTGTAACTTATTGAGTATTGACACCACAATGTTTGATTAATGTGGCAAGATTTGTAGGCTTTACCTGTCCAGACATGATCGTATAAACCGACATATTTAGTTTCGGTTATGATTAATTAATTCAAATGTGCTCTGATTTCGGAGTTGCAGCGATAGAGCCGTCGTGTCATCTCACTCCACAATAATTCACGTTTTGAGAGTTGAGTCACTCTCCCACTCTTGATTGGAAAAAGCAACGTAATTAGCAGGTATTTCACACTCGTTCATGCGCACACCATGACAGTCAACTCAAAACTGTGTCATTCATTGATACTTAATTATAATCCGACAATTAAAAAAATAACAACAATAATGCGCTTACTTTCGTGTCGCTCTATAAGTTTACACAGAACTAGAGGAAGTCTCTTGTTAAATTCATATTGTAGGCCTAGAATACAGAACTTTGCACAGTCAAAACTAATCAAGTCTAGCAGTTTTCAAGGATTTATCAATCTGCGCCTCTGCAGTGTGTGTGTGTGTGTGTGTGTGCGTGCGCGTGTAGTAACGTTATGATGACTGATTGGATGCAGTATACATACTTGGGCTTGTTTTGTTAAACAATTAGCCTATGCAACTTATATGTTTGAAAAGCGCCAAATTGACCCCAAACCAGCCAAAATTCTGTCCACCCGCCCAAGCCAATTTTTACCCGCACAATCAAATTCAAAACCGCCCAATTCGGCGGGAACCCGCCCAATCTGGCAACTCTGGGCATGACATTTCCCGACCAGGTGCCAGACTGGGGAGAGAGGTGTTGTAATAATGTAAAATATGTGAAAATAATGTGTTTCTCCGAACAACCTAGTAAAAGCCGTACTAGCCTGTTCTAGTACACCCCCAAAACAAAAACAAAATCAAGACTTTGTAAAAGAGCATAATAGGACCCCTTTAATGCACAGGTAGTTTCAAGTCAGTTTAATCACCGTTCCATATTAATGCGCTGCTTTAATTGATGCACACAAACATCACTCGCGCGCACACACACACCGAGAGAGAGAGAGAGAGAGAGAGAGAGAGAGAGAGA